GAATAGATATATTGATGAGTGATGAATGTGTGTGTGCAATAAATGAATGACGCGACTGTGTGTGTGAGCGCGTTTTGAATGAATGTTCAAAGCATTGGAATATTCGAGATTATATTGATGTATATAAATAGTGTGTGTGTTGTTTAAGTTAGTTAGCGTTTTATTGTGAGTTGTCAAGAAATAATTATACTGTTTCTAATAAAATTCTCTTTCTCCTACAACATTGAAAATTTAAATTTTATCTTGGTAAATTTCTGAGATCGCAAAAACTAGTTACAACATATCTAACCAGGTTATAAAATTCTCGATACACGACATTAACAACTTACACAACATTAAAATATCTACGGGTTCTCATTGATTTCAGATTACACTTTAACCAACACATACAACCGCAAATTATAAAAGCACAAAAACCATTCCTATCACATAAACAAATGTTTCATTCAAGAGATCTAATACAAGACGTAAAAGTCCTTTGTTATAAATCACTTATTAAACCCATCTTTACCTAGGGTTGCCAAAGCTGGTTTAACATTAATTCCAGCTCAGTGGAAAAAATACGTTTACTTGAAAAAAATGCTTAAGAGCCTACACTAACATGTAAAAATCCCTAGAATCTACCTACACAAAATTTATAAAAACAGAAAAATCTATGAATCTAGCTAAACTAATCAGAGTCGACTTATCTATATTAAAAATGATCAGGAACCATAAGTCTAACATTCGCTACATACACAGCAATAAACTTATCTTCCGCTCAGTATACCCCAAACTCCTATATTTCAAAACGTCTCTAGCCTCTCTTCATTTACCTTGACAGCGCAGGTTTAATACCAAATGATAACAACCTTCCCATTATATACGACGTCAACGGAAAAATCTACGAAAAGAATAACATACAAAAAAAATTTTAATTGCAACGACAACAACCTGCACTTTATCTGCAACCTACCATATTTGGACAAAGCAGACAAACATAAAAAAAAGCACTGAACGCTACTAGTGGTTAGACGACAACACAGCCCTTGGCTTCTACCCACACCATACCTGATCTAAAAACAAACCAGCCTGACAACACCACTTATTGTTCACAGAATACTCTTACCTAGGTACAATTCTAACACCGGTCCATCTCTCGATAGGTCAAACATTACCTCACCCTTATGCGCTAATAGCATTACATCCAAATTAGAATTAGCCTAGTTCACCCTCAAATCAACAGAAACATTCTCACAGTTCATACAGGGAAAAAATGTATATTACAAATAAATTACACACCAATTGTAAGTGGCGTTGACTTAGTTGTAAAACTAAGTCATAGAAATTGTAACATACCATTGCCAGGATACAAACAAATCTTGTCCTTAATAATAAAATAAAAATAACATCAACCCTTTACATTCATACCGATTATACAGATTTCCATACCTTTACTCTATATAACTCATAGCACCAATAGATTAAGCTAACACTCTATAATAAAAAAGCCCGCTATAGTTAAGTCCCTTAAGTTAAAACCTCCACGTCCCAGACTACACGCACTTCCTAGCGAAGTGTTTAACACGTTCGCTACCAATGTCACATATTTGTGATGTCCTCAATTCTATATTTTGTATAAAGAAAATGAAATTAATCCTATAGATATAATTTGTTAAAGTTATTTACGAAATTACACTTAGGGATCAATCGTTCTAACTTCATTTGTTTCAATAGTTTATTTAGAAGATCTATTGAACTGAATAAAATATTTTAATCGAGAGGATCGTCACTGAAAGAAACGCTAGTAACGAATGTGTTAATCTAAGTAAATACACTTTCACAGTAAAACTTAGTACCTTAAGTTTAAAATTTTTGTAAATATTGTATATATTGGCACAATAAACGCTTTTAAAAAAATGGTTTACGTCGGACGTAACATCACAAGTGCCTACAGTCGCCAACACAACTCAATAATAGCAGAAACAGGGAACTACACCAAAGAATACCCTCACCGTAACAAAATTAAAACCATGAAACTGCTATCCTAAAAACAACAATTTATCTTCACACATCAATACTATACCACTACGTGCTACTTTTATCAAATTATCAGGTTTTTGAATAAGGAAAAAAAACTACAGTCGTCTCCGTGTCTAAGGCACAGGTCTACCAGACAGTTTTACTGACGAGTCCATTGGTAAATCCCGGTCGAAACGCTTTCCTCCTTCTGTTCTAATCTAATAAATAATGAAGAAACACCAGTATGTAGCAAATGTAACACAGTTAGTGTAATCCATCACATTACATCTTGTTTGACCTATCAACATAACAGGAGAAACTCTTACAAAAACGTTCTCGAATGTTTCAAACATATAAAAGTATTTGATCTAATTTAAAACAGTAACTCTCGATGTCAATTGTACCGAGTACATAATTGTTAATAACCTTATCGGGTTGATGTAACTTTAAAAATATAATACAAAACAAATGTGAATTATATCAGGGAAATGAAAAAAGAGTTTACACGGTCGTAAATATGATCGTAAAAACGAAGCCGTAATTATAGAGTTTTTATTTTATTTTATATTTTCGATTTATTTCTTCATAATGAATTCATCGATGCCTGATTATATTATTCGTTTTTGAACACCGTGTAATTGCTACAGAGAGTAATCATCTTTGTCAATGGATATCTATCATTAGTTCACGAAAACCACTATGATCAACAATCAGATACGGAACATTTACTACGACCATCGACAGCGCGATCGCGCAAGTAATCATAAACTGAAGTTAGAGACATCTACATATTACGGAACAGTACACGTGAATTACAACATCAATCCATTCTTTCATGCTGTACAGGCAGGCAGAACATAATTTGCCATCAAATATTATAATAGTTACGCATTTATTACGTCTATTAAAGTTTAATTTCATTACTAAACGGTACTTCAAATAATTCGACACGCCAAATTAAATATGCATCGACATTAAAACTATCGAGCATTTAATACGATTAATATGTAATCCCTATAAAAATTGTAACAATAGATTATTTTCAATTTATATATATTCGTGTATGACCCCTGAGTGTGTGCATAAGACAGTGAAAGATTCTGTGTAATTGTTATACTTTACTTCTCTTTTTGTTTCTTACTTTTTATGTTTTTAATGAAATACTAATATAAAGTTTCTTTTTGATTTGATTACTAACGAAGGAAGTCTAACATGTTTTTAATAGTGTGTAAAAGTTTAGATCACAAACGACCGAAACATAAATTTTTGTTCATAATCCTGCATCTTCGTTTAAAATTGTCTGCCATTTCTCTATGTTGTTGTGTACGCGTTTTCTATTCGAAAATCTTATAGTGAAACCCGTACGTCGCACGCCGACTTAACTTTGTGCGAACTGTTTGGAAAGTGGACTGTATCTAATTACTTCAGTGAAAAATACTTTAGTGTTTATTTGTGGTTAGTTCAATAATAATCGTCAGCGGCGAGAGTATACAACGACGTCTATGTTCCGTCTCGTGTCTAGTTCAAAATTTTTCTTGTGTCTCTCTCTCTCTGTACCTTGCGTGGGTTTTTATAAACCTTTTTTGGTAGGGGTGTACAAAATTTGTCTGAGTGGGAGTCAACCGGTGATCCTGGAGGGGGTTGCCGATTGCAGCCCCCGGGTGACCCACGCAAGGGTCTTGAACGTTCTTGACACTGACCATAGCGAGTAATAAAACCAAGGATCGCCTCGACTTCTGGCAAACAGATGTAAGTTAAAGTTACGGTAAATCTACAAACTGGCAAAACGTGCCGAAGCAAATACGACTAAATTATTGAAGTAATGGTTCCTTGGGCCTTTATTTCTGCTATGGTAAAAAATACTCAGGGCTCCAATGTGCCTCGCAGAAGGTGTCGTCAATAACCCTCCTAAAGAGATTTAGCGACGCGACATATGTATGTACACAAATTTTTCCTGGCACCCAAAGGATTAATATATTAATTAGCACTATGTATAACGCGAGTAAATGATTGATAAAGCAAACAACCGCATCACAACTGTTCAACATGCACGGTCGCATAAAAAGTGCAATCAAGATTCGTATCCTCAATGTTATCCACTTTACAGAATAAAAAAAAATGTAATCGCAATGCACTTCCCTAAACACTAATGCATATCTGTATACGTATGGACATATGTATGTAGTATATATGTATATAGTCATTGATCAAAAAATTAGTGCCATCATAGTTTTTACGCCTCATTTGTCGTGATAATCATAGCACTGGAAGTTCAAAAAGTAACTTAATAACAATTTCTTTGTCGTAGTGTTAATCTTTTGTACTTCAAAAGTGTTTCACTGGAAATACTTAACATTTTCTGTTGAGGTACAGACGACATTTTTTGAAACATTACGAGAAGTCGTACATGGATTGAGGAACAAAATTATTTTATTTCAATATTTCACATATTGATGCATTATAGAACGTTTAATGTTAAATATCAATCTTTACAATTTTACAATTGAGAAGCGCCACTGGATTGTAAAGGACCAATAGTAAGAGTTAAGCATAGAAATTAAGTCTGAGTTATAAAAAATTAATATGAAGAAACTACCAGACAAGAATCAAATTGCTAATTTATTGTTAATCTTCTCAAAGATGATATCAATGATAGCCTTAATTTTCAATAAAAAATAAATACTATTAATTAATGATATTAATTAAATAATGATATTATACCGTTTACTTAATTATATATTGACAAAGTATCCTGAATCTCCATCAGTGATGAAATGATGTAGTGCTAAAACAATTTCTGAACATTTGTAAAAACTTAAGGAATTGTGCTTAGCGAGAAGTTGAATAATAAGTTCAAATCGAATCGTATGAAATATATACGAATCTTTTTCGAGATAAGTACGTTGTCCCATAACACTCACAAGTCGATGCCGTAACGAAATATAAAATCCTCATAATGTCCCGACGTAAATTTAAATTCAAAATGAAATTGCCCTTACCTGAAAAACAACATGCGAGAGATTTTCATCATCCCTGTCCAGTGGCTCCAAAAGTTGCAGCTTCTTGCCAACCAACTTGAATCGAGGCTGTCTACCAGGAAAAATGAGATCCAACGTAGTTTCATTGTATGGATCGCCAGATACCGGCAGTTCCTCAGGTACAGTTTTTTGATCGATTGCTGAAAAATTTATAGCTCATAAACCAGTTGTACAGTAACGGTGAATAATAGATTTCTCCAAGAACTAAGTCAGAAATGACTCAGATAAAGTTTTACAGACTATTATTTCGAAAAATGTCGCAGCTACCACTTTCCTTTTTCGATTAAACATGAATGTGAGAATGCGTCTCACAATCAGTCATGTTACAGCGTGTGTTGAGAAGAGTTCTGTGTAATTAATCACAACAATAATTCCTCACCAATTTGGTTGACCTTGAAGTATGTTGCTAAGGTCATTATTTTAAACAACTTTGTCCTATCCATTTTATCACCGCTCGGCTTTAGTCTTCCAGATATTCGCAATAAAATGTCTGGCAATGAGAAGTTTCCGTACTTATTTACAAAAAGGATAACCCCTGTATGACCTTGATCTTGACATATGTTGTTAAGTTCACTGTTTATACACCTAAGACTTTAAACTTTTTGACAGTGAGTATTGGATCAAAAGTTATGAAGCATTAAAGTTTCGCGTTGCGTTAAAAATTGTCGTCTTCATTTTCATTTATTGAAGTTGTTCCTTATAGTATGTATACTTGCCTTTATTTAGATAATAGAAATGTGTATTAGTAGTGCTGGCTTCTATGAAAGAGGACGGAACCTGTATCCCTATCCCAAAAAATTAACCCCACTATTATCTAAATGAAGTTTGAGTATGCATATTATAAAGAACATGTAGAGGAAGAAGCTGTTTAGAATCAACTTCCCCGCAACATATTTCAAGATCATCTAAATCGGTGAAGAATCAGTGTTGTAAATAATTATCGAGTTCGTTTCATTCCTGTATTTCTTTATTGGGTATTAAATATATTTCACTATAGCTTCGTTACATTCGTCATTTCTCTTCCTCATCCTTACTCGGAATTCTACATACATATACATATGTATGATACAACGTAGGAAAGTGCCACGATTGACCGAAGCTACACCTGTGCTGCGTCACAGACATTCATGTATATGGAATTTATTGCAACAGTAGCGAAAATTTTCTGTGATCATCTCGAAAACTAAAAGAGAACTGTTTTCGTCAAAGAAAATAATTGTTCAAAATAACACTCTTGGTAAAAGTGCTGTCTCCATATTTTATGTGTTTATCAAATAAGACTGAAAACGAATTTGAGCATGACGCAGAATTTTAGTGTTTCATAACTTTTGAACCAATTATTACAAAGACTTTAAGACGCTAGGCACACAGAACAATTATCTTAACAATATATGTCAAGATTAACATTATTTCCCTTTTACCGCATATATTTTAATAAATATCTTAAAAACTAAAAGAGACTGCCTGCTATAAGTTTGTAAGAGAAAGTGGGAAAACGGACCACAAATTGTACGAAGGACTTATTAGATCTATGTATGTCACGCAACAACAGCTCGATACGAGGTCCTTATCAACGAAAAACATTGGTGTTCCGGTTTCCTCTACTCCCCCTACACAAAAATGTTCAAAATAACCTCCTCCGCGACATATGAGCCACTTATTGGATAAATCGATTAACTCCACAGAACAAACAGTGAAGAAAAGTGATGCCATAGTGTAAATTTAAGTTTTAAAATTTCGCTTTAAATGCAAAATCGAATCATCATAATGAAAAGTATTTTATTATACTTGATTAACACAGGTACAGCTTCAATCTAACAAATATGTGAAATACATAAAATAGTATATTCTTGAAATAACTTTTACTATTATTGCAATTTTTTCATGACAAAAAGACTTTATCGTTTCATGGTACCAAACCCAGTCATAATGAAATTTATATTAAATATAACATGTTAAGAACCAATGAAGCGCTTTAGTAATAAAATGTTAAAAAATTCAAAAAGTGAAGTTAATCGATTTGGTCAGTGTGCGGCTGATATGTTAATACGTTGACGCTTGAGAACGAGATTTCTCGTTTTCATATGACATACGCTGGTGACCAGAAACAAGTTTTCTCATACTACATCTGTACTTTTTGTAACGCATCATTACACAAACAGAACTGTTTTACCAAATATCATACACAAACAAATTTTTAGAGTTACTTATGTGTAAATAAAAAAATATTCCTTGATTCAAATCATCAATCACCAAACATTTATACATTTCAAAAGATTGTCCCAGATTTATTACTCGCCTTCCAAAATAATTGTATATGTCTAAACTCGCCGGTACCGTAGAAAGTTTTAGCAAAACATTAATGGTCGACTCTGTGTTAAGATCATTTTGTAGCTTTGATACTTTCAGAGCCTGGAAGGTTACGGTAATTAGAGGCCATCGGGTATAAACCGTGTCTAGTAAGAAAGTTTTCCCAACGTTTCTCCATCATCGTAACTGACTTCGTTAGGGGTCCAAGATGTACTGACACTGATATGCATCTAGAAAACTTAACACTAGGTTTACGAGCATTTATTGTATAGTTTATTCAACCATTCCTAGAAAAATTGATGTTCCTTCGTTTAGGTGTTGGAAATTGACGATTCAAAGATAGACAGTTAGGATGTATACTCATGTAATTGCATCACTAGAAATCAACGTAAACATTTACTAATAATGTTTATAAAATTGAATATACGCCAAATTGAGGCGTTACATAAACCTAGTAATGAAAACAACCGAGCAGTTTAATTGACTTTTTGAAATTCCTCTATAGAAACTCCAAGAGTGCATCTATTGAAGCTTTAATTGATTTACAATTCAATTTGGGCATTGCTAAATCAATTTCTGTAATAACATTTCAGAAAAATATCTGTTATCTTTTTAATAATTGCAAAAATAAGAAATCAGGAAGGGTTCATTTTGAACCGTCTGGTAGGTTTAGTGGTAATATAGTAGGTACATAGAGTATCTTTGCAATTAGTACCCGGACCGATCAGCAGAATGAGTATTTACCCATCATAGTCATCCTCACCACTGAGGGGCAAGACCCCTCGACAAATCAAAAAGTTCGACGGTCGAGCAGTTGTAATACGATATACTGTTCAGCAGGATGGATATCGGCGATATAACATTACTGCAATTATAAAACTGTTTTATGAGAGTTTTTTTGTAAATGAAACTTTTACTAACGCATTTGTGAGATTCTTCTAAATAAATCAAGACCAAACATGACATACTTTAAGTAACAATTTACTAGAAGAAAATAGATCATTGTAATTTAGTAAATAAGTAAATATGTTCCAAAATACATCGTGTTTGATCTCGTTTTAATAAAAAAAAAACCTTACAATTCAATTAGTAAATATTTCAAGTAAGAAAAGTGAAAAATAGAAAAGTTTAACATTGCATTAATATCCTCTTATACATCTGTTTCTTTTGATCGTTCCGAAGGTCGAGCGTCTCGCTTTTTCATTCGCGTTGTCCTTCTCTACAAAGGACAAACAGGAGCTCAGTTCGGACCTTATCTCGACTTCGAATCAATACCACTGCACGATTAATGCCCGGTCGCAGTCTCGGTTTTCGGGTACTATGTAATTGCGAGAATACTCTACCTACCCATACTCATGTTCAGAATCAGTGAACACTGGTAGATCTTAATTGTTCAACTAAACAATCCCTACTGGGCATGGCTTACACCCGAAAGTTACCAAGGTTGTTCTGGTCGTGGAACATGTATATTCACATATTTCTTCAAATTTATTTAAATTTATACAATCTGAATCGTAAATACAACTTTAGAAGGCAAACACGCTTTACGACATTTTAACGAAATTGTTAATTACGAATTTTTTAGATATTTTTTCAAACATATTTCTATGAGATGCGTTGATTTTGTTACTTAACACATTGCGTACCGGTTCATTCTTAGAAAACTGACCTATTTTTCAATGAGATCAACTTATAAGTTCGTGATATATCACTATATGCAAAATATTCAAATATCTTATTATTATGTCATAAGTATTAAATAAGTAATCAGTAGTTAGCAAAGTTACAAAGATAGGTTTAAATAAAAACGAGAATTCTCGTTTCCGGTGTGCAATGTATTAATTTGGCACACTAAAGTGAGAGTGAAAATTAGCTATGGATAAGGTGGAAAGATAAGTAAAATCTTTAAAGGGATTAAATCATGGACTCACCATTTCCTCTGCTTTCCTCGATATCAAGAATGATATTGGACTGACCCGACTCCACCTCACATAAACCTAAAACAAACGAACAACAACTTCCCATTAGATGAATACCCTTCATAAATAATTTTTCTCTGAGACCTCATAGCAAGGCCCGATTTAACTCTACAAACAATAGGGTAAGATTTTACATTGCGCTCAAAGGTCAACACTGTAGGTCAGTTACCTTTACCAAGAAATGTGTCCATAAAAATGAATAATAATTATTTATTCAACATCCAGCAGACATTTGGCAATGCATCGATTAAATAACTTATAGTGAATGACAACAGTGTTCCAATAATAAAAGACACTCGGCTTTATCTTCTCATACTTTAAATTATTTACAAGCCTAAGACATGTTCTACATCAAAATATTTAAATCTCTTTTGTCTAATGTCTGAATGTTTCCAATTTGCGGGAAATAAATAAATCAAAGTAAACGTTACACTCAGATAGAAGAAAATTGTTTGCTTTTATCACGCAAGATGATAAATAAGTTACAACTTGAAAAAATCACATTCGTAAGAATAAAAATTGTTTATGTATATTAACTGTAAAAGCTATATAAACGTTCCTTGTAAAAACTAATCTTATGGACTGTCTCAAATTAAACAAAGAAAATATTTTTGTAATATTATAGATATTGAAACATATGTAAATAATATTTAATGTTGTATTCACAACACATCGGTGACACAGCGATTTTTACACTTATTTTGTAATTTACTATGAAAACGATGACTTCGAGAAAATGAAATTGCTCTATACGGTAAATTAGACCTTCCTTGTATGAAAACCATGACAGTAAATACAATACAGATTTTGTTGACCACCGAAAAACTATATTTCATGTGACGCAAAGTACTATTAATGATCCTCAATGCCAATTACATATTGTTTGATGTCTCCGGGAAACCTTCCTTTCCTATGCACAGTTGCTTCTTTAAAGAAAACCTCGAGCACCTGTTGCTGTTGAGGGTTACTGGCGGTATCTTGTGTCTTGAGCAACTATTTTATAATATTTTCTCACTTCGTTACATGTTCCACTCCGATGGATGACATGTAGGATATGAAAGAGTTTCTTATAATGACATTTATAGTGATATTATTGTTAATAAAGTATTTCTTCGTTCTTTCTTGAATCTAGTAACTCTTCGATATCAATTTTTTTAATTTTCAGTTTAATTTACAAGAACAATAAGTATCACAGAAAATCGTATCTTACAAGGAAAGGTATCGAATCCGAAAATTAAAAAACGATATGAAACTTTGTGTGTAATTAGAGTAAGTCAAGCCTAATATAATAATTTTTTTGTATAGTTAGTATAATTAATATAGTAATTTTTGTTCGTATCTTTCATTTTGAAGGGGTGAAACCACCCCTCGAGAAAATTGCAAATTTTTCTTTCCCGTGAATTACTTTGATCATAGTAAGTGATAGCAAAACAGTTTCAACAAAAAATACATTGTTCTTCCACGTCTATAAAATTATAAAATAAAATTTTTCAAAAAGTTACGTTATTTTCAAAATTTTGAAAAATTTCATTGCATAATTTTATAGACGTAAAAGGACAATGCATTTTTTGTTTAAAGTTTTTTTCACCCTTTCAAGGTGAAATTCAACACGAAAAAATTGCAATGTATTTAGACTTAACTTATTCTACTTACAATAGTTCCATAATTTTTTGAATTTCCAGGTTCGATACTTTTCCTTATTAATCGTAACTGTATCCGTACATACTGAATTTTTAAATTCGATTTTCTCAAAAAGTACACATCGAACAAAGAAATGTTATTCCTTTTTTTCTTATTGTTTTATTAAGAATCACCTCCCATCTGCTTGCCGAATCATTTGGATGTAATCCGTATAAAAGAAAATATCGTGTAACGAACAATTCTGTCATTTAAAAGGACATTTCTCGTGAGTTTTGAAAACCTGTTACAACTTTTACAATTAAGTACATACAAATAATACAATTAAATTTATAATTCCATGATATTTCAGACACGAGTCTTTTATTCTCAGTATAAATTCTAACAGTTGTCCTTTTCCCGTCGTTTTCGATTTAAATTCACTCAGTAAGTTCTGTTGAAAGTACTCAAACAGGTGCAAGAAATATGTCCAACCGGAAATATGACTTGGCAAAGCAAACCATCCAATTTACAGAGTCAGTAATCTCGTAATCTTTTCCTTCACAGTGTGAGCGACAGTTTACATTAAGCATCATCTGTTGAAATTCTCCACGAACTCGTTAGTGTTATATTTTTATCACAGTCTCTCACAACCGACGAGCTAAATCGGGATATATCAGTAATTGTAATCCAGTTAGCGCAAACCCCGTCGAGCTTTCACTCCAACAAGATTTAAATCAATTTAAACAGTTAGCATGTCCGACGACCGACACTGATTCGTTTTATATATAAATTGGGAGTTTATAAATCTCAAAAATACCATTCGCCAAATAGATACGAAATCATTAGTTTCAAAGATTTTAGAGAGTGGTCACGGTTTAACGAACGAAAGAAAAATATTGAGTCTATAGTAAAACCTTTTAGAATTATCGAAATTATTGTATACACACTATGTGAATGGGACTACGTGTTTGATATTGCGGTAATATCGAAGTTTGAAGAAGATACTACATAGATTTCGCGACTTAAATATATAAAAAGATTACAGGAAGATTGAAAATATTCCAGAAGAACGGTTAAACTTATTAGAATATGCAGCTAATATAAAAAATGTTGAGTACAATACCTAAACACCAATTCTTAAATAAAATTTTAAATATTTTTCTTATCTCTTGTTTCTTATTTGCGTCAGGAACATCCAAAAATTCTTCTGCACATTTTATTATTGATGTCTAAGTATGTTTATTTCTTTATTGTTAAAGAGAAACCGATCTGATCCGTTTTAGTCTACCTTACCTCTGAAAACTGTTAAATTTCAGTTGATTTGTGTGAGGCACACGGTACAGTTGAAGCAAGAAGATTGATTCTATTCATGTGCAAAGAAGCGATGACCGGATATCCTTTAACGTATTCTGTGGAACTTCCGTAATAATTCACGCGAGCATAGTGATCCTACAGCCTCGTAGTTTATGACTGTTCTCACCTGACACTGAAGAGTCGAAGGTGGCCCCCGGACGAGAACACAAAAGGCACCATCGGCTCTGAACAAATGCGCGCCTCTCGGCTGTGATCTTTCTCCAAAAGGTTAACTTCAAACGCTAATGGCTGAGGCAAACGAAGATGTACCGCTCCTCTCGAATGAAACTTATTCCCGGTAAGACGCTGGATGACATTTGCCTTTTCTCTGTACGCTTTACCCACTTTAAGCCAGTGCCGTATCCGGTCGCGTCTTTAATGAATACTCTTTAATGGAGACCAACAAGGAAAACACGTTGAACTTTTATTGGGGTACAGGTGATCGGCAAGTTTGTGGGTGAACGATGATCTTCGAATCTAGGAAACGGCGTACTACTTGATCGGAGAAATATTTAATTTTTAAGAACTTTTATTTATATTTCTTGCTGTGCGAAATTGGATAGTTTCGACGAACTAGTTATATACCATTGTATTTATGTGTAACAATTGTATTGAATTGATTTCTATAGTTATTGATTAAATACATGCTTTGTGTGTGCAAAGATAATTGAAGTTAATCAGAAGAGTAATAGGACAATTTGAAAACTAGTAGAAAATTAATGTTCACATAGGTAATGATCATTTAAATAAATTATACTTTGAATACGATGGAAGATACATAGAATAAAGTTAAAATTCCTGCCGAAAAGCTATTCAAAAATAGGATAGGAAATTATTTCGAATTAAAAAGCGGTGAACTTAATCTTATGTAATATGTAATATTATTTATACTGGTAACATTGTTTCTACAGAATGAATACCAGTCAAAATGAATGGTTTCGGTTTTTTGTTTCGGAATTATTCATATCTTAACAGCATTGAATATTCTAAATGATTTTGAAAATAAATAGTTTCACTTGAATACTACAATAAATATTTGAATAAACCAAAAATAATCTATTGTTACAATATTCGTAGGGATTACATATCAATCGTATTAAACGTTTGGTACCTCCGGTATTAAAGTTAAGAAAAAGACAACTATTAAGATTTTCTAATTTCTTCTCCACTGCAACTTAATAAGATCGTTTCATCGGTCAACGCTAAATTTCAGGTTCATGAATTCACAAAATAATTCCACACGAGTTTCCGCATTAACAACGGGTAACGAAGTTCCTGGCTGTTATACATCTTCTGAAAACGTTTTTCATGGAAAAAAGGTGATCTACTGTCGAACTTTGGCCATTTCTTGGAAAGCAGCTACATTAGAAAGTGCATACTCAAGGAGCAAGCGTGCCGATCGCGACCCATATCTTTCGCTGAGTCTCCTTGTGGCTGTGTATCACAAGTCTTACGGACTGCGAATAGAATCGTAGGTGAGCGTTGCTGGTAAATTCCTGCCTCGACGTCGTTAAGAGAGAAACCGCGAATTTACGAAGGTCCAAGATAAAGACGTACCGCTACTAACCAGCGCACAGCACCTTTGTTCACCACGAGTATCGCGTGGAAAAATATTACAGTCGGTTCATAATCTTCGATGATTTATCGAAAGAATATCCTTAAGTGTATTTTATGACGGTAACAATTTTATATCGGTAATGCATATATGCAAACGCATGCGATCGGTATCTACGTGAGTTCGTAAAATTGATACGTAGGTTCCTGAAAAAGTTTTGAACATCGGCTGTGTTAAATAAAAAGTTGTTCGTTATTTTCGTTATCTTCGCTGTGAATGTGAAGTTTATTTTATAAATCATAGATGCTCAATTGAAAGTTTTCTAAGCTTTTGACTGAAATTAATCTGCTTCAAATATAGCCAAGTAACATGTAGACAATTGAAAGTAATTGTGTGCGAATTATTCCGCTTACTGACGCAAATGGGGTAAGCTTAGAAAGTGCTGACACAATCTAATGGAAAACGTATTAACCCCTTGCCCTATGATTTC